GTGCATACCTCTCGGCACACTTACTTTAAGTTGATTATAAGAAAACAAACAATTTTTAGAGAAACTTGCAATGTGAAAATATTTAATACTCCCATGAAATGTGATTTGTTAAAATTTTTAAAGTTATAATGATTTTTTGATGTAGATCAAAATTCAGTCGAAGCTTTTTAACTATTTGTATTGACAAAACTTTATGTAGGTACACTTTAAGCTGGATAAGAAAAACTACCACATTTTTAAATACCATATTATACAGTCTTTTAAATAATCCAAAATACTTATTTATTTTGGTCAAAATAAATTTTTCTAACCTTAACATTAGATGATATTTTTGTTATAATATATTAACCTACCTTTAATACAGATATTCTTATTCTATAATAGAGAAGCTAGATTTTTTTAAATAAATGCTGTTTAGTTAAAATTATTTTATTGAGAAAACCAGATATTTGGACCAAATGCACAAAAATATTACTTATTTGGCACCATACACTTTAGAATTTCATTAAATGCAGTATTTATATTCTTAAATTCTTAAACTATCCATTGTTATTCTAATGTTATAAACATTTATACATTTTTAACGCCTGAACATAATATTATTTCTTTCGTTGACTATACTTTGACAGATACATAATCTGAAAAGCCTTAAATGCCAAATTTTCAAAAGTCACGTGGTGGGACTTTGAGTGTGGAGCATAGTACATGTTTATGCTTTTTTTTAATTAATAATGTTCAAAGTTTTTCCACACACAAATGACGGTTAGGGTACCCAGGTACCCTTTAGTTTAAAATGCCAAATAATATATTTTATAGCCAAAATGAAAACGCAAAGTTTATCTACATCTATATATTTGTAAAAAAAAATAATACAAAATATCACCCGCACTTAAACAATTGTAAAGTCAATACCAGTCCGCAATTAGCTGATTCAGTTGCTGTCGCTGCGTTTTAGCCGTTCAAATACGTAGGTATATCGCACAAGTTAATAACTTACTTATTCAAATTCGTAGATTTATCGCACAAGATAATAGCTTATACATTTTTTTCACTTATAAATACATCCATAAAAAAACATAAAAACAGATATATTACGTTTAATATCCAAATTAATATAATCTGGGTACCCAGGTACCCACCCCGTCATGGGAAGGTGTTTTTTTTTCCAGTCACATACAATACAATAATGCACATGAATATTCAACGTTTCAAATCTTTAAATGGTTCTTCTTCAAAATCAGGTTATCGGACTTACCACACTCTCTACATATAAAAATGATTATTTTGCTTTTAGATATACTTGTTGATTTGTCTTTAGTTATAACAACTTGACTAAAAAAAGTTTCAACTGATGAAAAATGCGAAAGATAATAATAAATGTAGTATCCAATTTAACAATAATGGATTTAAAGTATACTAAAATTTAAAATAGTGCCATTATTTTACAACAATAACCATTCTGTACACCATTTCGGTAATAAAAAGCGCGCACACATAAAAGATTTAATATTTGTTTTAACTTTGTTTGTAGGTTTACAACGATAAATAGTGTTTATTAATTCAATAAAACCGGAGCATCAGCACAAAACAAACAACTCTTCGCAGTGTCAATTATTATTATCATTCGCACTGTCAAATCGATAGCGCCGTCATTTTACAAACGTCGTGTTTTATCATTTATTCAGGCCGTCGATACGTCATCGATCTAATTACAATCGAGAAGGCATAGTATTGTGCATGTTCCTTTTAAAGTTGGTATTCTAAATTACACATGTCACAAACTTTAATCAACAACATGACAACTCAATGTTGGTACCTTCGGTAACAAGATTTATTCGCTTATTTAGTGCTGATTACTTTTAATTTTATCCCTATTCAACAGTCAATTAAAAGAATGAAGTAGGTAATTAACTAATTAACCATTACAAAAACGTGTTAGCAATCCACTTAATATGTCAGTACTAAAGAAGTTTGTTGCATGGAATTTAAACTAAATTTGCAACTTATTTTGGATATCATTTTTCATAAAAATATAGACTAATAATGTTCGAAGTGCACTCCACCAGCATCCAAATACATCTGTCAACTGTCACCTGTCATCTGTCAACTTTAATCTTTCAACTGTCATCTGTCATTAAAAGTTATGAGAAAAAAACGATTTTTTGACGGCTTAAATCTCCTGCCATGCACAAGGCAATAAACACCTTTTAGCCGTTATACACTGAAAGAAATTTGTTGCTAAAAGTAAATACAAATTTATACTAAAAATTTTATACTAGTGCTTTACACATTTATACTACTGTTTATTATGAATGTATGTTAAATTTTGTAATACATTTATTGTAAAGAAGATATGTTAGATCTAAATAAAAATAAACTTACCCTTACTATAAAATGTAAACTATAAGTGAATTACAGCAAAAAAATATTGCTAGAAACACCATTTATATTGCTAGGGCAGCAATAGGCTGCTAACCAAACGAATATATTTGTTTTAGCAATGTATGTGGTAGTCCATATATGAAACATAAAATATATTTGCCCTAATTATTTTTTTATTTAACTTTAGTATATATTTCTTTCAGTGTAGCTAAAAAAGAATGCTAAGAAAAAAAGTTAAATGAAAAGTACCTACATATTAGTTATTTATGTATAATTTATATCAAATGATTTTTTTTATTTTAACATTTAATTTTATGGGTCATTTTCAAGAAACACCCGCTTTCAGGAAAATGAAGATCAAAATATTTTTTTTGATTGACTTTTTGGTTGGATTTTTATAAATGTTTAGAGTTTTGTTTACTTACATTTAAGACAGGCAGTGCACTTTTTATTTTTTTTTACGTTTTTTTCAGAAAAATGTGTTTAGCTAGCTTTATATATCTCCACTGTGTTACCAATTTGAAATCCAAAATTTAATTCAATAAAAAAAGTAGTTATAAAAATAATTTGAAATAAAATGTACTTAGTTCACAAACTTTTGACTATAATTTTTTACGCCGTGACTAGAAGTACACCGGGAGTACCTCCATTAAAAGTACATCAGGTTTGTGCGCATGCGTGTTTCCATACCAGCTGATGGTGAAATTGGGTATTTAATAAATACTATTTATTAGTTGAGGTTAAATATCCTTTTTCTATGGGTTAAATTGGTACAGTTAAATTTTTGAGAAATATATGTATATGTATTACATATAATGTAAGTTGTACTTATTTGCCAGCTGAAATATCAGTAAATAATAATAATAATACCATCTGTAATAATGTTAAAAGTCGGTAATTGTTTTGAAAGTATTAGTGAATTTCATGTTGAATTGAAAAAATATGAAACAGAACAAAATTGTGTTTTTTATAAAAGAAGCACAACAAATATTACATCTGCCCGCAATAAGGGTGTAAGTAGACACATAAGAGATGATTTACCTTATCAAGTTCTCTACTGCTGTATTCATGGAGGAAAAAATAAACAGAAAACACCCAAAGACAACAGCCGTAAAACAAGGTAATACAAGCTAACTCTTTTATTTATAATAAAAAGTACCCTTCAATTGAATCTTTCACAACCTAAAACTTTAAAATCACTGAAACAAAGTCAACAGGGTTGCAATACTCAATGACCATATTATTTTTTAGGACTTTTCAAAGAGGGTGTCCAGCCTACATAAGACTAATTGCGTCAGAAGATGGGAATTCTTTAAAGATTATGTCGATTGACAACAATCATAATCATGATACCACAAAAGTAAAAACCTCAAAATGCAACATTATACAGAGTGGTCATGGCTAAATGAAACAGGGAATCAGCATGGCAAAATCTTGTCTAAGATAACTCACCACTTGCAATTCTAAAAGAAGAACTTAATGTGACTAATAGCCTCAGCTTTTAAAAATGAGATTTGGCCTTTATGGCCTTCCTTATAGTAAACGCTAAATTAAACAAATTAAAGAGAAGTGTTATGTAATAAAAAAAGTTACTAACATGTAATAACATTTATGAAGTAACAGTTCTAGGGACTATTTTCTAAATACTATTAAGTTAGGTTTCAATGTATTTCAATCCATTCTATTTGTAGAAATCGTCAAAAAGGTCATAATGACGTCGTGTTATGACATATTTGTAGGCTTGTGGAGGTCATAGCTTATTTCATCTTATTCTAGGCTATGTGAGAATCGAGCAGGCCATGATTTGATGATTAAATTTTAAAATTATTTTTGTATATATATATATAAAATTGCTAATGTTGAGGCATTGCTTATTCCCTATGGCTCATTTAGTGGTTAACTACATGATATAATTTTTAAAATTTTAAGGCATTGTATCAACATCTACCTCAAAATAGAAAGTTGAATTTAGATGAAAAACAAAAAGTTTCTGAACTTCTAAAAGCTGGCGGCAATAAAAAGAAAATTAAATGTATGATGGAGTCCAACACCAATAAGGTCATATTGTTGAAAGATCTTAGAAACATTCAGTACAGTAATAAATCTGCAGATAAGTCTCTAATCTCAATTATTGAAATTTTAAAGGAAACTCACGGTAAAAAAATCCAAGAAAAATTATTTCCAATTAATTTAGAATTGTTTTAGGAGCAACAACGGAAGTTTTAGTTGAAAAGATGGTTTTTAAAGGGTTATACTTCCAAACCAGAGAAATGATGAATGCTGTTGAGGCTTTTCCAGAATTTTTTGCAGTTGATGCAACTTATAAACTACTCAATATTAGAACACCAGTTTATATCATATTATTGGAAGACTCTAATGGTGAATCGCAAATTGGGGCAGTTGCAATTTTAGTATCTGAAGATAAAGACAGTTTAAATTGGTTTGTGTCTTGTTTCAAGAAACACAATCCATCATGGAAAAGAAATCGTGTTATAATGAGCGATAAGGACATGGGAGAAAGAGAAGTTTTCAAAAACCAATTTCCTGATTCTAGTGTCATCATATGCATTTTCCATGCATTGAAAACATTTAAAAGAGAATTGAATTGTGAGAAACTGGGTATAACACCAGGACAACGGGACACAGCTAAAGAACTTTTCCAAAAAATTTTGTATTCTCGAACTGACAATGAATATGATGCAATTTATAAAGAAATCATGAAGTTACCACCACCAGTCGTTAATTATTATAATGAGAACTGGCATAAAATAAAGAAGGAGTGGACATTGAACACATATTTTTTACAAAATAGCTTCCTTAATAGGACAAGTAATCGTTTGGAAAGTCTAAATCAAAAACTTAAGTCAGTGATACACAAAGATTCATCGCTCACTGATTTTATAGAAAACTTTTTTACACTTTATAATGGGATGACAGAAGAAAGAGATCATACTGCTGCATATCAATATTTTAAAGTTCCCTTAACAAGATTTGAAAAAGATACTCCACAGTTTCATTATAGTAATTATCTGACTCAGTACGCATTTAATTTTGTTCAAAAAGAATTACAAGAATATACAAAAATTGATACCACTTCACCAAACCAATCAACTAGATCTCATATGGCTACAGATATTAGTTGCACATGCAGCATATTTATTTCAATGATGCTGCCTTGTCGGTAAATTTTTAAGTCTTGAGGTTTATTCGATTTTTATTAATGATCATATTTTAGGCATATATTTTCTATCAGAGAAGCTCAATTCCTGCCTTTGTATGAGGAATCATTGTGTAATAAGAGGTGGACTAAGGATCATTTGAGAAAGCATCAAAAAATACTTACTAACTGTTCAGTTGTTGATTCAGCCACAACTGATTCAGTTGTAATTACTGACTTAACCAATAATTCGAAAATGAACAGAAAATTAAACAAATTTGAAAAATATAAAAAATCCATGTTAATTATGAGAGATATTTGCTCCTTAGTTGCCGAAAAATCAGGAAACCAATATGAAATTACAATTAAAGCACTCTTAAAATTGAAAGACTTTTTATTAGAAGATAAATTAATTGATATTGTAGACATAGGACAAAATACTGAGTTGACTCAGAATTTATTTAGTAACCCAGTGCAAGTCCCACCATGGGAGAATCTAGAAGAATCGAATGAACCTGAAATATGTGATAACAATAATGAATAATAATCCCAATGCCAATGAACTGATAACTGAATGTGATATTGAAAACGAATGTGATAACCATAATTATTATACTAATGAACTGATTACCAAATGTGCCAATATTGACAGCAAATGTGATGAAAATAAAGAACAATTAAATTTATTTAGTAATCTAGTGCAAGTCCCACCATGGGAGAATCAAGAAGAATCAGACGTACCTGAAAGTCACTCTGTAACAATATGTGATAATACTGAAGGTAATAATCCCAATGCCAATAAACTGATTATTGAATGTGATATTGACAACGAATGTGATGACCACAATTATTATACCAATGAACTGTTTACCAAATGTGCCGATATTGACAAGAAATGTGATGAAAATAAAGAACAATTATATTTATTTAGTAACCTAGTGCAAGTCCCACCATGGGAGAATCAAGAAGAATCAGACATACCTGAAAGTCACTCTGTAACAATATGTGATAATACTGAAGGTAATAATCCCAATGCAAATAAACTGATTATTGAATGTGATATTGACAACGAATGTGATGAACACAATTATTATACCAATGAACTGATAACTAAATGTGCTGATATTGAAAACAAATGTGATCAAAATAATAAAAATACAGTGAATAAAATAAATAATAATTGTGATGATGAGATATTAAACTGCAAATTTACTGATCAAGTAACAATTTTGGAAAATACTATTATACCTAAAGTTTACAAAAAACGTGGAAGGCCAAAGGGTTCTGAAATGACAGTGGTTGGTTTGCCAAAAAAAAAGAAATCGTCCTCTGGCAAACAGTCATTTGCTAAGAGACCTTCAAGTGAAAAAAAATTATTGATCCTTAAGTGGCTAATTCCAAGATACTACATGGAAGTTTTTAATAAAAATCGAAGTATTGAGGCTGATGATATTAATATTGACATTCCGCATTCAATATTAGATGATAATGTCAATATTAGCATCATTGAAGAATTTTGTACACATTCATCCTGGTCAAAAATAACTTCAACTTTAAATGAAAAATCGAAACTTCCATGGTTTTGTGCAAGATGCGCTAAGCAGTTATCCCCTGCTTCAATTATTTGTGAAAATTGTTTGATGTGGTACCACACCGGCTGCGTAGGCTTAAAAAAAGTGCCGAAAAAAAAGATATGGTTTTGCAAATTTTGCGATTGACACTCGATCATATTATTTTAATGTGTATTTTCGTTTATTACCCTAATAAATTTTTTAATAAAGATCTTTTTTCGAAATATTTTATTACATACCTACCTATTAACAATTCATGCACTGTAGCCCAAACTAGGATCTGGTTACTTAGTAATTTTTGCTGTGTTAGATCCAATTAAACTTTTCTTTGATATAAATAACTCCGCACCTTAATAATAATTTTTTTCTTTTTTTTTTTCATAATTTTATGGAAAGATTGGTAAATGGATAGTTTCATTTTCGAAAAACCAATCAAAAAATATTACAGTTTTTTCGGTTTTTATTTAAATAAAAAACAAACGCGTTAATTGTCCTTGCAATGTAGCCAAGCTAATACAAAAATTAAGTAAGTATTTTGCGCTGTTAAATACGAAAGCGAAAAGTATAAGGTAAAATATTATATTTTACGTTTAATAAACATACACCCAGTGTACGTTTAATAAAAACACACCCGGTGTACGCCTAATAAATATACACCCGGTGTACTCCTAATAAACATACACCCGGTGTACGTTTAATATAAATACAACCGATGTACGTTTAATGGCGGTACTCCCGGTGTACTTCTAGTCACGGCGAATTTTTTATTCAAAATTGTATGCTTTTTTTTATATGTATGTTCGTTAACTTACTTTTTAAAAGAAACCATTCCGATTCTTTGTTAAAAAAACAATACCATTAATATTTTCTTTTAGTCACTGTATTAGTGAATTAAACTCTAATTTATAAATACGTATTACCAAGTGATAGTGTATAAAAATCATTATTTTTTTTTAACAAAAACTAAAAAAAGTAAAGAAATAGGCATTGGTATCACAACGGACAGGGGTACACAAAGGACTTAATCAGATAACGTAAAAAAGAAACTATATAGGGTGGTACGATTTTAGAGTAATGCATAAACAAAATCCCTTGTAGTAGTGCTCACTTGCAAAATAACAACTTAGATTTCTAAATTGTAGACACCCTTTTTCTTTGACTATAAGCTGGTGAAGTACTTTTATATTGCGTGGAATTTTTCCTTGGATGTAATCTATATCATGAGTTGTAATTACAAATAATTTTAAATTGGTTAATCATAAACTACTTTTAATAAAAGCGACGGTAAATATCCACTTTGTTGTCGAAAAATTCTATTGCGTTACCCTAAATTCCATTGCGTGGACTCGGTAACGCAGTGGACAAAGTTTTGTAAAACCATATTTAAAAAATAATAATAAGACATTACAGTCAATAATTACTCTAAATGAGCTTTAGTGCCCTAAAATAAACATAAACATGAAAAATAGTATTTTTTCTTACCTTATTTTTATCATTTTTTTGAGTAACTTAGCGGACAAACAATTATTACTTTCGCGTTACCCGCACCTGTTTCAACCGATATCTTCTTCCTGATTGAATAAATAAATTCATCTGGGTAATGTGTACGTCCGAACATCATTTGTTGATTACGTGACTACCAAAAAAGTTGCCATATATATGTTTTTTTTTAAATATTCTATCGGTAACGCGACGGACGTAACGCAACGGAAAAAATGTCTGGGACATGAGTCAAATTTAAAAAAAGTAGATTAAAATTAATTATTTTATATATAAATTGTTTACTGTATTAACTAAGGATGTTATGGATTGCTATAAAGCAACACAAAGTTCTGGTTATTCAATATTAAAAAAAAACATGTATGTAAGTTTTATAAAACGCTAATGGGACATGCGAAAATTTGTGTTTCACAAGTTTCAAAATTAAAAAAAAATTATTCTGAAATAACTAAACAAAAATTTTCTGAGTTTACTAAGGGCTTGTTAGGCTTTCACTTGGTTTTTAAATCAATAAGATCCGATAATTTTTAACAAAGTTATTGGATTTCAAACTAACGGACAGCGGAAGGCGGGTGTTTTTTGAAAACGACCCTTAGATAACATTATATGATAAAAAAAAATGTATATACAGGGTGTCCCAAAATCACCGGAACAAACAAAATGCCTTGATTCCTTGAGAAAATCTAAGACGAAATTTCTTTACAATTTTTTTTGAATTCGCAAAATTGCAGGAGTTAAGTTATTTTTAAAGCCACCAATGAGAGCGCAGTGTTTCTGCTGTATCGGACGAGTCCTTGTTATATTTTTTGTGTTTGCAAGAGACGCTGATACTCTTTTATTAGAAAATATAAAAAAAAATCGGTGCGTGTTGTCCCAAGCCCAGAATCAAAAGGCGGGGCTTCCTTGAATAGTACATTATCTAAAAGCGTCGTGTTATGTGTTGTACTTTTTATTTTTTAAGTTTAATAATTCTGACATAAGTAATATTATAGGTTATGTGTATGAATTTATTTCACAGTGACCCACTATTTTTAGTTATATACACTAATATTGAGCTAAATGCTATAGATGAAAACACTCTTTCTATGTAATTTTATTGCATTTTCATTATTATACGACGGTGTATAATAATTTGACTTTTAAAGTGCGTAAGAAAATGGAGTCTTCAATAGGCTTATAAGGGTTATTATTAAGGTCCAGATTTTTAGATTATAAAAAAGTAAAAAAAAAATAACAAAATTAGGTCACATAATTAAAAAAATAAAATTAGCTGATTTATTGAATTAAATTGTTTTCATTATAATGCCGATATTCTTGTAAAACCATACAGACTATGTATTACATAGGTGCTATTCTCTAAAAACTGATTAACATGTCGTTAATTTAACATTATGCTAATATCATAGCTCTGTTTAAACTCATTAAGCAGAATGTAAAATTAAACATTGAAATATATATTCACTAAGCAACAATGTTAATCATCAAATAACATAGGTGTCATTTGTTCAAATAGTATATGAATAGTATATGTACCTTCCAGTTTTAAAAGGTTTTTAAGTTATCGTAACCCAAAAATATTTTAAGATGGGAGCTATTGTCCAATCATCTCACAAAATTCCAGCCGGAGGTGTGATCATAGTACCTCCGCGGCCTGCTGCACAATAACCCGGTAACCAAAACGGGAACGGGGAACAGTAAATGTGGGAAAGACTAAGCAACCGCTGTTGATTGATCTGAACAGTAAAGGTGAAACTTCCACCGTTGAAGAGAACTGAACTTCAGGTTCCCGTTCTCGTGACCGAGCTGTTGTGCTGCGGGCTTTATTCTATACGTTTGCGCATTCTGGTGCGCTGCACAGTATGGCCAGATTGAAAAAAGTCTACAAAATTATTGTTTTAGAAAAAGTTATAACAAATAACTTTTTTATTAAAAAAATGTTTTTGAGATATTTTTTTAAATTTCTTGCTTTTACATTACAGTACATTTTTTTGCAATTTTATGCAGTTTTACACATTTAGGTGACGATAATATCATCACATTATGTAGTAATATTTTGCCCTGATATAATAATAGTATACTGTATTCTGTAACAAGTTTGGAATTCGGCATATTACCCTCGAAAGGAAAGTTTGTTATGGTTTGTTACACAAGAGCGGAATATGCAATTTCAAATGTTTTTTAGACTATACTTTCTCCCCTTTCCAAAAAATACCATAGAAAAATAATTTAATTGGGAGAAAGTGTCGCCACCTGTGTTTATTCCGTCATCCGATAAAAATAATAAATAATAAATTCACTTTTAGGAATATGTCATTTCACATTAAAAAATGATATTAGAACAGTCATATTCCGTAAGAGGAGTAGAAAACATAATATTATATACACTATACCCTTAATAAAATAAAATAAATTATAGCTATTTACATACCATGGGAGGAAAATAGTGCTTTTCCTCCCGCGAATAGTTTGATGCCCGACGCGAAGCGAAGGGCATTAAATATTCAAGGGAGGAAACGCATTTTCCTCCTGATGTATGTATATAGTTTTTTCTATTACCTTTTAACGCTTTTAAGAGATTTTAAGCATTTCGGTTCCTTTTACTAACCCGGTATGGGGCTATAAAATTATGACAAAATATTAAGTAGGTGCGCCGACGTTCCATTGACAACGCTTTGTTGCTATGGTATTTTTGGTAATACAAATATAACAGTTTTTATAAGCTGTCAGAATGTTTATCATAAATTTGAAATTCTTCCTACGTTTTGAAAATGAGTTCTAGCGAAGAAGACCTGCCGCAAGATCTTGCTAAAGAGGCAAGAATAGTTGCAATTAATTTCATTTCTTAAAAATCGAAAGAGCGATATGAAAATGAATACTTATAGTTTGTTAAAAAAATGGTTGGACAAGCGCGGAGTAAATCTTTTTCCTACAAAATCAAATAGGGCTAGACAAGGTACAAAAACTCTTGCTAATGTCCTTGCTCCCGGGGAGGAAAAGAGGCATTTTCCTCCCTCGCTCGGGGGTGGAAAATTAAGTTTTCTAGTAAGGTAGTAGAAAAAATTACTTTTTTATTAGGAAAATGTTAATATAATTATAATTCAAAGTTTTTTTTAGAAAGATATCTGGTTAACTTTTGATTATAGCCGCATTGTTGTATCGTTGCCAGCAACATATGTTATCTTTGCATAGTCTGCAAAAAAAGGATATTCCAAGCACCTGAGTGCAAGCAGATTTTCTGTAATTTCAATACAATAAAATAAAATATAGGAAACATGGGAATGAAATTGCAGCATCTTATATATGTAAAATTTTGTCCTTTGCATTTTTATTAAATGGGGCTTGGTAAGTTTACTTTTTATTTATGGCTAGAATTATGTCTTAACTTAATATATATATTGTATATCGTTAATACAGTTATACAATTCATAGGTATACACTGTTCATAGAGTATAATTGGTTGTTTGTTTAATAATTAAACCAATTTTAATGATTAATATAAATTAAATCACTTATACCAAGGATGACAAAGGGTTCGTATTGGCAATGTAAAGCCCGTGAAACGATTTGTTGGTTGTTGTTTTGGTGTGGATTTCCACGCATTGCAGATAGGCGTTAAATCCACAGCATTCATTAACGCTTTAATTTGGAATTGATCAGAAAAGGGCCGTACGGGTTTTTCAACAAAACAACACATATTAAATTAATTTTTTGTGTCACTGTCAACAACAGAATCAATTTAAATTTTTAATAAACGGTATAACCGTTGCGATTTGATTTAATGGTTGGATTGAAATGGTATATAAATTTAAAATTAGTCTAATATCTTCTCTTTCCTGTCAACTTGTTCCAAAATGAATATATCATTTTACTTTTTTCTTAAACAATATAACGTGGTTACAGTATTCTTACAAGTCTTGTTGTTTCGCAACAACATGTGTAGTTGACAACAATACAATGCACTGTCGTCGCGGCTCCAATCAGGACTTATCCCTGAGCAAGTCTGGGCTGAAATATACATAAAGTGTGTACAGAGTGCCATACAAAAACCTCTCTTCATACAATTCAGGACTGTTTGGAGGCTTAATTATGTTTTTTTGTTCGAATTATAACAATCAAGCTTGGGGCATTTTTTGTTAAGTTATGATTAACTATAGCTATCTTAACAATTAAAAACTAGTCTGTTATCAAAAACAAATTTAAAAAAACAAAGATTTAAATATTTACTTCTATTTACGAACCACATTAATTTCATATAAACTGGATAGGATTTTTTTTCACAGGTAAAACTCGAAAAAACTGCTGACAGGTACTGTCACAAAGTTTTTCTACCTAGAAACCATTTGTAATTCAAAATTGCGCGTTTGTGATTGGTGGAAATTAAGACGAGGGAAATAGTCGCTTTAATCAAGCGATAATTGTCTTGTAGGCATATATATATATATATATATATATATATTAGGGTGAGCCAAAAAAACTAACCTATCGGATTTATGGGTTAAAATAAACCTACATACCGAGCAAAAAATTTCCCTGCAAGGCAAAATTTTTTCCATTGAAATAACACGTAAAAAAATCTTTTTTCATTAAAAAGACTATAACTTTTGAACCGTTTGAGATAAAATTTTTTACGTCGCGGATTCTTGTAGAGCATAAAATTTCCCAAAGAATCTATACCAGGATTATTTTCTTTAATTCAAAAATTCGTATGTTTGAAAGCTTTGAAAAGTGTAAAAAATCACTAAAACTGCAGTTTTATCTCAAACGGTTCAAAAGTTATAGTCTTTTTAATGAAAAAAGATTTTTTTACGTGTTATTTCAATGGAAAACTTAAAATGCTCACCGACACCTTTTAAAATTGAGCAAAAAATTTTGCCTTGCAGGGAAATTTTTTGCTCGGTATGTAGGTTCATTTTAACCCATAAATCCGATAGGTTAGTTTTTTTTGGCTCACCCTAATATATATATATATATATATATATATAAGAGGGAAATTATCATTGTAATTTTTAAATTTCCACCTATTAATTCAATTGTACCACATTGTTAAACAGTAAATAAGTATAATATTTTAGCAATAATTTATGTCCAAGTTTACAGAAGGATATATTTTTATAACCGCCTTGTTATATTATATGTAAGTTAGTAGGTGTATTTAATCCTAATTCTTAAGTCTCGTAGGTGTGAAGATTTTCTCCAATAACGCCTTATTTAACCCTGATACTACTTGAGCCAATGTTTATATTTACATTCCTCAGGCTACATTTCTAATTAGCAACCCCTTTACAGATTTAATCTCAAGTCAGGAGCCATTAGAAAACCACCGAAGGTTGTGTGCCAGGCCATAATATAAGATAGATTTCGCACATACACCTTCTAATTTGCAAACATTCACACTACGAGCTTTTGTGGCTACCAAGTGGATATTTATAACATGGGATCTTGTAGTATTTGTCTCTTGAATTTGCTTGCTATTTGCATCGTTTTGTATAATTCTGCAAAATATAATTTCAGACCAAACATGTTTTCTAAATTGCTGGAGAATACTAGCTAAATAATTAATACTGCAGTATCCATGGATACTAGTTAACTGGTATATTTCTTACACTGGTTTGTACACATAAAAAATCTTTGTTATTAAATTTAATAATAAATTTTAAGTATGTTTGTTTTTTACATTTACAAAAATTCTTTGATGACTTTAAATTTCATGAGGAACAATATTGAACTTGTCAAACACCTGCAGATAAAATAGCAAATTTATTTGGTAGACTTTTGAACTTTTAGGTCCTGTAACTTTTTACAGGATATAAATAATAATAATGATGTTATTTTATAGGTCGTTATAGTAATTGAACTAAACCAAATCTTAAAATTTTGCAACTTTTAAAAGTAAACCTTTTTTAAATATTGATGGCAAATATATATATATATATATATATATACACTGCCCGTCAAAATTAACGCATAATAAGTAAAAAAATTCTAACTCTAAAACGCCTTTACCAATCTTTATAAAATTTTGGATAAAAATACTTTAACTTATATCTCAGTTTACGTTTTCAAGGGTTTTTCGAAAAAATATCCTTAAAGCCCTTTTATTTAATATTAAAAAACACTCGAAAAAAAACTTTAATAGGGATTTTTTTTTAAGTAAATAAATAATATGCTGTTAAAGACCGTATTATTGTTAGTATACCCTGAAAATATTGTACACGAACAGTAAAGAAAATACAGCGCTTCAAAGTCGGTAAAAATGACCACTTTTCAGCAAAATAGTCAAAAAGGGGTCATTTTTACCGACTTTGAAGCGCTGTAAAATGGCTTTAAAAATATTTTCTCGAAAAACCCTCGAACAAGTATTCTTATACAAAATTTCATAAAGATTTGTGAAGGCGTTTTAGAGTTATATATATATATATGAGGGTGTCCTTTATATGGGTGAAAATTTTTTATCTTCCTATTTTAACGTTAACCCGTGCCGACAGAGCCGTGATTTTGAAAATCGCTGTCTTTAACGCTTATCCTTGTGTAGCTAAATGAAATGAAATGTTTGAAATGTATGAAATGTATAAAAATAAAATTAAAAGAGAAAGTTAGAAATTAGGTTTTATTTATTAATTAAAAGAACATCACAAATCAGCAAGGATATTTTCTTTTAAGGGTCTCTTTTTTACAGTCTGAATTCAGATTTCTATGCTTTTGTACACAGCGCAGCAAAAATTGTTTTTGTTTTTCTTTTGCAGTAATTAAACCATGAAAATCTTGCATAAGTTTTACAGCTCTTTCAGCTGTATCATTCACGGCAAGAAAGAAGCCTTCTTTTTGCCTGCAAATAGGCAACATCTTCTTCCCATGTAGAAACGGGTTTCTTTAAGAAGTTTTTATCAATGTTTAAACGAGAAAATAAATTTGTGCAAATCATTTAATGATTTTCCTACAACAATAGTCAAGATATTATTATTATTAATATTATTATCAGTTTATCCAGAAGGGTATAAGAGATAAAACTTTGTATTTTCACTTACCATACAAATAATCAGACATATCTTCTTTCGATGGAATGTATCTCTTCACAGAATCATACAAACTCTCTCTTTGTAAGTTCGCTACAATATTTTCCTTGGTTTCTTCATCTACTTCATCATCAAAGAGCTCAGGGCTGCTTCGGAGATCTCTTCGTTAACAGTTTTATATTCTTTATATTCTTTAAGCCTCTTTAAATCACCAAATCTTGATTTGGTGCCTTGACCGCCAGACTACATCCAAGCCATGGTTTCACATATATAACCACCATGAATAAACAAATATCTTGAAGTGCTCGTTTATCCTTGGCCTTAATTTTGAACTGAGATTGCAACAAACATATTTTCAATGAGTAAATTGCTCTAGCCATCCACCTTGCTTGATGCATTGCTCCAGAAGGTCTTATTTTAATTTTTTTCTCATTATCTTCTCCCACGAAAATAATAGATAGTACAATCAGTTCCCGATAATCGTCACAATGGATTTTTGCAGTTCTTGATTATAAAATTTCAACAATTCTTCAATCATTGTTTTAGAAAAAATTTGGGTGACGATGTCGGTGTGTGTTTAAATAGCAGCAGGATTAATAGTTTTCCAGTTGTCTCTACACTTTTTGAACATCGGGATATCAGGCTACTTGTGATTTGGTGGATTTTTGTTTCAAATACACATTTTAAAACCAGTTCTTAAACGTGATGGCGGCAAGCAAAGAGTAATAATTCCCTGTCTAGTTTTTATTCCAAAAGTACACAAGCTCCTTTCAATCGCCCTGTATTAGATGCAGTTGTTTCACAGCACATTATTTGTACTTTGTCCTCGAGCTTTAGCTTGATCTTGACCGGAAGAGCTCTCCAGTTTGGGCACAGCTAAAAGTTGTTCCTTTTCTCCAAACGAAATAAGAATTGGCAGGCGTTCTTCTTTAGAACTTCTTTCGTCCAGTCCGGGTAATAATTTCCCGTCCCAGTGAACGGTCACCGTTCCAGGCAAATTATTTTGAAAATCTGATTTTATAGCTTCCGCTCTATCTTTTCTACTCTGTGTGCGAATGCGTTAAATAGACGATTTATTTATCGGGAAATCATCACAGCTAATATATAGGGCTTCTACTACAACCTGAAGTATATAAACAGAATCCCTTATGCTTAATTGACATCTATCTAAAGCTGCAACTAACTTGGGAGTGATGAAGTCTTTCCTTCATCTTTTTGAAGTTGTTACAGAACTTACCATTTGAGATGTCGATGGCAAGGCTTTCATCAGAGCTGGTAGGTTGATCGGGATTTTCTTGCGTTTCGATAAAATCTTCTGTAGTTAGAGATGACGACAAACTCTCGGAACACTTTTGCTCATGTTTTTTTTCTCTTCTTTTAATTTTCTCTGTCTTGTTCTTTCTTCTTTCTCGGCTAACTTTTTATCTACGCCCGCTAAACATCCTGGACGCCCGGGTTCTCTTTGTTTTTGTAAAAAGATTTAATCTTCTTCTATTTTTATCCATTCAAAAGCATTTGCCTGTGCTATATCGAATAAATTTTCTAAATTGTTTTAAAAGTCCTCCTCGCGGTGCTTGTAAACATCTTCCGTCTTTTTGGAATTTTTTTGTAACTCTCTCCAAGCACGGTGAAGATCCACAAGTTTTTTTACACAGTTAGGCACAGCTCTGGTGGAGATTCTAGCATTTTCCCAGAATATAATACACTCTCGAACGACAAGATTTGCGCTTTCATTAACAGTCAATTTAACTTTCTGAAGAAGTCACTGTGTGACGAAACAATTGTCATAAGTAAATAAAACACGTGAAACTTTCAAAACATATTTGTTTTTATATCTACATAATAATAATAATATGGAGTTTCATCAAGTAAAGGTCGAAACAATCAAATAACTTCGCGAATGTTAAAAAAGAGGACTGCAAGAACTTGACGATTAGACGGTAATTTTGCTCCAGTTATTTGATAGTTTACGTCACCAACTAAGAAAATACTTTTTTATTGCTTCTTAATGCCACTGCCATTTTTTTAAGTTTAAAGAGAACAAATGACAAGTACGCGCCGCTAGTTCCGCGTAACTTGTATGGACATGTTTCGATGCAAGTCGACACGGGTTATCGGTCTCCAAATGAGGTAAAAATTTATTTCCGAGTGTTTTAGGAACAAATAAACAAAATTAAGACGTAGGTGTTAAAAAATTAAAACTTTGAAAAATACAAACTAATGCATTATTTAAATCAACGTTAAATCAATAGCTAATTTATATGAAACTGTCTTGTATTACCGCGATTGTACATTTGCTATTGCAGTCGGCCTCCTGACGTCACGCCTCCCACTACCACACTCCCGCCTGGGATAGAGAACGCCGCGGCGTGTATAAATAAATAAAATGTAAGGAATATATGGGGCTTACGAATTAAATAAACAGAAACAAAAATGTAGTTTGGATTGTTCATAAATGCATGGCAAGTTCTTATAAAATGTAAAATTGGATGCTAGATTTGTATATAAAGTTTGATAAACGCCATTTTAGTGTGTAGAAAAGTTTATAAACGAGTTGCATACTATACTTTTTTTATGACAAATACTTATTATTATCTAAAAATGATTTTAATTAAATATTTGTATAGAGCGACATCTATAAAAAATAGAGTAACCAACTTTGAAATCTGTATTACCGGTGCGCCGGTAAAAATGTCAAATTTTTAAGTGTAAATCGAAATGTATCCCTTAAAAATGGACCGTTTAAAACGATATAGAAGCAGTTTTTCACAGTGAAAGTAAAGAAAATACTTTATGGACACTTCACGGTGTCCCCCAAAAGTAAGTTAAATCTAGTTTACTGCCAGAGAATTAAATGTTCCTATAAACTTTTCAAATATTGGCGTTGAGAAATTATTTAATACTTTTGAAGGGCACATTATTTTAACGATTCTATGAAATTTGAGCTTTGAGCCCGTGACTAAAACGCCGTAAAGCCACAACTTGTCAATGTGTATTTAAAATGTCACTTAGTGTGATGAAAACAAATTATTTAAAATTAATAAGCATTATTTAAAATATTGTACTCAGATTTATTTTATTGCTTGTCATTAGTTTGTGAATAAAACCCATAACAACCCGACTCTCTGCTTAAGCATTCACGAGCACGCGTAAAACCGATAAGTTTATTTAATAACAATAAACCAGAGGCGTCGTAATTCGAATTATCCGGTTAAAGTTCAGAAGTACGAGATTCGTAGCCGGTCTTGTTGTTTGCGTATTTAATTATGTATCTCTACGCTATCGCGATGCTGTATGCAATTCGTGTCCCATAATAAAACGAAAATGGCCCCGTGAGGGGTGAAAGGGGAAAATCTTCCAACATGCATGTTTTTATTGTTCTTTAGTGCTGCACTGCGTTTATTGAGCCACGTTTTATATTAAATATATTAATATACGATGGTGTTATTTATTAAGAAAATTTTTAAGGCTAATTTTTCTTTTATTTAGAATATGGTAACCTAAATTAAATAAAACCAAAATCCGTTACTCGATCTGTATACTATAGTAATCTTTGTTTTAAAAGTCAATTTAAAATTCTTTCAGTATCTTTTTTCTTTGCGAAAATACTGACATATAAAGACACGACCATTTGATGAATATTTACACCTAAATATAAAGACACGATCAATTTTCAATTCAGTGCTTTCTAGTATGACATTATATATGCCATTGTAAAACTGGAATGTTATGATTAAAGGATAATATAATGTATATACTTATTATAATATATGTACATTAGGGTGTCCCTTATTTTTATTTTTTTTACGCATACCCTCTAATTATATTTATTACTTGTTTACATACTCCCAGTAAAAATTTCAGCTCATTCTATAAACAGGAACCCGTGCCGACTTGTATCTAAACCCTCCGTTAGCCAACGTTAGGCGCGCGCGGTATTTTGTAACACGAAACACTTTAAAAAGAAGATATACTTCATGACTGTATTTTTCTAATGATTTTATTAAATATGATTACTAATTAATATTATTGCTTTTGTTTCTATCATTTGTTTCACTAATTTAGTTGATTTTATCCCTTAAATATATTAATATACTAATTAGTATTGCTAAAATATACTGTTATATGAAATTTCAGCTTTTTATAAGCATTTCTTTTCTTGATGTCCTCCCAATAATATTTCAGACAGTTCAATAAGTTTTCAGTAATCATCTCTCACAATAAACTCTTTTAGTTATTTAGAGTAAAACCCATTAAGTTTATCAATTTCAGAGTTTACGGCCTATTCACCAGACCCTTTCGGGTAACTAGCCACTCCCTGTGAAAATATACATTTTTATCAAAGTATACACATAAATAAAACTATATTTTAACATTTGTCAATAATTTATAATATAAAGGTCACATAATAACAAACACAAAATGACTTACGATCGAAGACCTCGCGATCAACGCGTTACAAAATACCGCGCGCCTAACGTTGGCTAACGGAGGGTTCAGATGCAAGTCGGCACGGGTTCCCGTTTATAGAATAAGCTGAAATTTTTACTGGGAGTATATAAACACGTAATAAATATAATTAGAGGGTATGCGTAAAAAAAATTAAAATAAGGGACACCCTAATGTACATACAAAAATAAATCTATTATCATATAGATCTTGATACTGTTGAACAAATTCAATTGGTTTTTATTATCCATTTGTTGTGTCGTGTCGTAATTTTTATTTCCAGGGTGCCGGTGAGCTACAAGCAGCTAGAAAATGATTTTGTCTTTGCTTGTTTGTATCGTGCCGTTTTATGTCTGATAATGTGAGTCAAGCCTTAAATCGCTAAAAACGGTTTGTTTGTCCTATTGTGTAATAGCCCTTCGGAGGGCCCGCGGTCCGTTCCTACCCCTAACCCGCACAAGCCATTCAGTTGGCTTCTGAGACTTCTTAGGAAGTAAGGGTGGAACTAAAAGAGAACTTTTGTATATAAACTTTTGTATGTGTATACTTCTATAGTATTAGTTTTATTTGAAAAGCTACAAGCCCAATAAAATAAAATTTATAAATTGGAAAAAAATACTGCGGTTCTCAAAATATTAAAAAAACTAAAACCCAAAGTCGATATAACTGTCATTTTTGAGAATTTTGAAAAAAGGTAAGAGTAACAAGTAAACAAATATTAATCAAAAAAAGATTCCCATACATAAAAGTATCCTCCTTGCACCTTGTATAAACCATTTTAAATATAAATTTAGATGTAAAAAGCCGCATGCACCTTGGATTTCACAAAATGAAGCAAGAACGTCCTCAACAATATATTGGGTGCTTTAAATTTGATATTATACATTCTAAAAGGCATTAAACTTTGGATCTATTCCTAAAAGTCAGGATAAAAATGTCACTTAAATGTCCCAAAACAGGTCAAAACCAACAGAAGCCATTTATCCACGAAGCCTGGGTTCCATTGCTTCTGTGGTATTGAAGGATGAAAAAACAATCATTAGTAGGTATCAGTGCTTCCAGTTTGAAAGCGTCCAAATACTTATAATTACTTATCAAAAAAGAAAACAGTATTATTTTAGAGTTCTTACTGTTAACGTCAATTATTGCACCATGGGTTGGTTTAAGTTGTGGTTAAGAGACTCAACTTAAAACTATCGATAATAAAAATAATTATCCATGATAATAAAAAAAATAAAATACAAAGAATCATAATCATAATTTAATATATCATAAAATAAAAAATAAAACAACCAATATAAATAATATATAAAATACCATACTATACAAGGTGTCCCTAAACTTAGTGGCATAAATTTAGGAGTAAAAATAAGACGAAAATCTAAATAAAAATTTTTCCTAATTAGGTATGTTTAAAACATACAGGGTTATAAAGTGTTACTTATCATATTAGTTTTTTTAATGTAACTTTTATTATGGTAGACTTGGAAAGGTGATATTTTGCGAACAGTCACTTACTAGCAAAACACATATTCACACATATTTACAATTGTTCGAGTGAACACAGTGTCGTGGAAACAGGGGTTGCTTAAGCTTATTGTCCCATACAAACTTTGAGGTTAGGTTTTTTTACCATTTGATGCAATTTTTCGATTATTCAGTTCGGCTACTATTAAAAAGTTGTACCTCTCAAACTTTGATAAAATAAACCGTTTCCGAGATATTCGAGATTACAATAATTGTTATATCGCATTAAAGGACTACAAGGTATATGATAACAAATTTTGAAAAATTACAATTTTTTTAATGTGACGGTCAGGGAAAAAAGTTTCGAGGCTCATGAAATGCCCTTTTTAGTTTTTTCAATTAAAAAATAAAATTTGTTATATAC